CCTAAATTTCATAATCAATCTCTACTTTCAAAGGGTGGACTTGAGTGGTTCAAAAAGGTGCTCACCTCTACTTTTAAGGAAAATATCCAAATTCTTGTTATATTTATCCCATCTTGTAAAGTTGCTTGGTCCTTAGAAAATATCACTACCTTATCAGTAAGGTTGTTTTCATCATATGACCAATAGCTATTTTCTTGTAAATCTTGTATTGCCAGATCATCATACTCTTCTTCTGACTTTGTTGAGCCTTCATTAACAAAGTCTACCTATAGAACAGAAAAGAAAAATTAGAGTAAAATCCACATAGAATCTAAAAGTAGAAAATAAAACCTTTTTTCATCTGAAATTCTAAGATGAATGAATAAGCCTATGTAACAAAAAAAAGATTTGAATGAAAACTGTACGGATTAGAAAGTAGAACCTAATGCCATTTCAATCATCCAACATCCATAAAAAGTATTATTGACCCAAGCTTAAAATATGGATAAATGAATAAGCCAATATCATAAAGATCATCCATATAACATAAATAATGTAAAAACCAATACAAACTCCCTTTGCAAATTAATCTTTAAAGTCACTTCTAATCAATTTACCTTCGGGCAAGATATTTTAGAAGTTTTATTCAATCTAAAATTTCACATGTATTCATCTTATTTCTCTTAAAATAGCTTATATGATATGCGATGTAAGGGCTAAGACTTAAATACCAAAATTAGAAATTTGGTAAATAACATCAATAGTACAATATTAACTTACAGACCATGACAACATCACAATACTAAAGAGCTTTTTATAAATGACAAAGATAATGCTAATGGTAGTAATTAGTGTCCATAAATAACATTTATATATGAAAACGAAGGTTTTATATCAAAAACAAGAAATGCAAGCATACGTATACATAAGAACCCATAATAAATGATAAAATCTTAAATTTGCAATGAAAATTAAAAAAAAAAAAGTTGGAGGCAAAAGAAGTTGAAATGGAAACAAATTTCCTTAGCCAAAAAATCAACCATGATGATAAATCTTTTAACTATATATATGTACGTTTGCATAATAGGTTGCTTTATACAATAAAAAAATAGGGTGGAAAGTGGTCTATAACTCACCACCATCTATAATAATACTGAGCATTACACGTAGACTTCCTATAATAATAAAAATACCTACCCCCTTATGGTAGAAGAATAAACCAATGAAAAAATAAAGAAAATAAAGAAAAACCTAGATCAACTAAATAAATTTATGCCCCACTTAACAATGATAGCCTTTACAATTTAGATGTTAAAAAAAAACAATAAAACATTTTGCAACAGGAGATTGATGGACATGAAGAAAATATATACATATATATATCATGAAGGGGAAATGAACTGAATTTACTATATCCATTAAGTTGGCAATGGCATTTTAAGTCTCCATTGCCACCTTGACACAAAAAAAAGGAAAGAACATCTAAGCCTTACTCGTGTAAAAATGGAAAGACTAGGTTCTCAATAAGTTTCTCTGCTAGTTTGAATTCTAAGATTTCTTTTGATTTCCAATAATTCTTTATTTTTGAGTGAATTGGAAAAGGTCATCAATAAATAAGGGAATGTAGTATTAAGAAAAATTGATGAGTTTGTTTCTATGATATATTTTCCAATGGTCAACATGAAATAAAGTTGTTTATAGAAGAAACATGCAGCTAACTATGACAACCACTATTAATTATCGCCATTAACATAACCTTAAACCAAATAAAAACCATCAAACACATTTATCAGAAAATGGTTAAACTTTTATCCTATTTCATTAATCATCAAAACTTTAGCTTCTTTTCATTTAGGAAATCTAGTAATAATTGTTGACTAAAACAAGATCACTTATTTAAACTAAGCAATCAAACTTATTTATCAATCATCAAATTTTTAATTTTTTTTTTACTTAAAACAAAGCAAATTGAAGTAAAATTTAAACTTGGGTATATAATAAATCAAACAAATTTAGCCATTTTTTAAAACCTAAACGAGTCAAATGCTTTTGCTGCTTCAATTTTTCCATCTCTAGCTGAGCATTAACAAGCATGTTCAATCGTTAAAACTCTAGATCTTTTGCAAACTCCATTATTTGTTTCTCAAGCTCTATTATTTGTTGTTGTTTTAAGTTCTTGATCCTCTTATATATTTAAGCTTCTAGACCCAAAGTTTAATATGTTTTTCTCATTTTTTTCCTAAAAACTTCTAAATCTAAAGATTAAAATAAAAAAAAATTGAAAGAGTTAGATGAAGATCAAATAGAAAAGTAAAAAAAAAAAAATGCATGTTTTAAATTTGTTAAAATACAATTAATAATAAATGAAAAAATTAGAAAGAGAAGTTAGAAGGAGAAAATTAGAAACAAAAAGAAACTTGAAAGAAATCTCTATGGAAGAAAGACTGTAAATTTGTTTGCTTGAAAAGCTTTTTGTATTTTTCTGAAGCTTCTTACCCTTTCTTGTTTCTGCAATTTATCCTTTAAATTTTTTATAACGTTAAATATGTGTACGTCAAATTAAAAGAACAAAACACTTCAACATTACCAGCATCACACAAATAGTAATTACTTGTTACAACGATCAACAACATTATTAATATGGAAATAAACAACGTCATTATTAACATTACACGAACATAATACAAATAATACCTTATGGGATCCTCAATCCATTCCTATGTGTAATGACATCCCTTAACACTTTGTCATCTACTGTAGAACCTTCCCATCCCGATAGAACATATATGAATTGCATATACAGGGTGCAAATACCATTGACATTGGAAGCAATTTCATTTTTTCTAGTCCTATATCTAAATCGGTCAACTACGTCAACATTAACTTTAATGTATGTCCCATCTAACGTATCCAAACAACCCATGAACCATTTCTATCTACTATCTGTTGAATTTTTTGATATGGGTTTGAGTTTTTTAAACAACAACATATGCAATCTTAGAACAGAATTTAAAATAGAATTCAACACAGAATGGATTTGTCTACTAATTGTCTCTCCAAATTTGGTCACTTGACGCTTCATAATCTTATTTTTTGTATAATGGATAATAATGTGGAGGAAGATAATTAATAGTTCTTTTATTAACATATGTCTAGCTAACTATAACCCCCCTTATGTTTTAAGCAAATGACATAATTTTACAAAAGCTCTCCTGTCCATTATAATATGATATACACACTATATATCACTCTCAAAGACCATTGCGTTTAAGTTTAACTCTTTAATACATAGGTTATCATTGGATGTTACATCACAAAATAGTTTATGTCATTTTCTTATGTTAATATTTAATAAAGTTATAGCAACAAAACATAATAAATACAACAAAGTCTTCATCTATTTCAATTGCATTATAAGCAATGTAACTAATCGCATCTTTCTTAGTAAAAAACCAATCATAACTATTTAGAAGAAAAAATATTATTAAAGTTGAAAACATAATGAAGATCAAATCTTGGCATATGGTGAATGGAATCCCCCCACAACATCAAATAAAATATAAATCATGAACAAAATATTGGAAGATTAGAAAGAGCTAAAATAATTTAACCACAAAACATATAATTTATATCAAAAATGAATTTAATCCAAAGCTAAACGACATCTAAAAAATTGAAAATAAGTTCATTGGAAAGCAACATAGATTACACACTATCAAGAAGAAAGTACGCACAGTATTTTATATAAAAATCAATGATAAACTTAACATGATAAAGATTAAATGATGGATAAGGAAGCTAAAATTTTTTGAAAGAGAAAAGTAAATGCTATGAACTGAGATCTGTTAAAATATAGATTTCAATTGTATTTGCAATTGAGACATGAAAAAGACATGGAATATAACATTCCATATATACAAATGTCATATTTGATAGTTATATTCTCTTTTGCTTCACGATTAGACGTTAGAATGTTCATATTATTAGAACACGATCATTGAGAGGGAAAACTAAATTTTTAATATGGGATAATTAAGGCGGTTGTAAGAAAAAACGGATCAATTGATAACCAATGAAGGTGATTTCGATACAAATGCCTTAATCATTTATTTATAGGCATATCTGAAAAAAGATCATGTCATAAAACTCTAATCTATAAACATAAAAAAGAATAATTTTTAAATAATGATCATTTAATGCATTTTTTGCCAGAAACGCTTTGAATAACATTTATTCAATTTTTGTAAGAGATTATTTAAGACATTTTCTGGGTAAAAACGCCTTAAATAATCTCCTTATAAAAATTGAAGGGGATTATGGCGTTTTTAGCTAGAAACACCTTCAATAACCCTATTCAATTTTTTGTAAGGGATTATTCAAGGTGTTTTTAACTAAAAACACCTTAAATATTCCCAAAAAATGAAGATTATTTAAGGTATTTTTAGCCAAAAATATTTGAATAGGCCAAAAACACCTTCAATAATCTCTTCATAAAAATTTTTAGGGATTATTCAAGGTATTTTTTTGTCAGAAATACATTGAATAACTCTATTTATTTTTTTTGTAAGGGATTATTAAAGACATTTTGTATACCAAACACCATATATAAACCAAATTTCTTATCAGTATAAACCTATAACTTAATTGTATTTATTTTCAGACATGCTTTTCGAAATGGTAATGGTTATTTCATAATTTTTTTAGTTAGGTCAATTTTGAAAATAATACTACTTTCCCTCCTGAAATCTTAAAATACCTAAAAGAGTGATGAGTTTTTGATTTCGGACTTCGATTACTATTTGAAATTTATCAATTTTTTTCGAAATTAGATTATCATGAATCAAATATTGAAATTAAATACCCAATAATAAGATTTCGAAGAGAAATGTGTGGATTCTTCCATATCAAACATCCTTTTAAAGATTTGCTTTTGCATTATGCAATAGATATAGATTTTATTAGCACATAATATTTATGTAATTTAAACAAGTTAACCATTTGCATTAGACAAAGTTGCCAAAATGTATAACGAATAAAGTTGTCAGGAGCGCCCAAAGCCAAAAGCAAAGAATGGTCTAACCCAACTTCAACCCTTAAAAAGGAACCAAACCCTAATCAAAAGTAGGACTTGGAGTTGGAGTGGATTTGACGCGTTGCCCTTTTGTCCGTAAACTCTACTATCTGTTTATAAATATGGGTATCTTCCCGGGTTTCTTTTTTCGCCTCGATATTTCTGGAATCTAGACTAGTGGGATATGGGTATTCACTAAAATCAGGTTTAGTGTTGTGAGTTTTCTAGTTCTTGTTGTTTAACGAGAATCTGTCTTAAAAGGGCTCCGGTGACGAGTAGGAAGTGCTGTAAGTTCTTCCAATATCTGAAAGCTTCATCAAACTCGAGCTTCATTGTGGAACTAAACTCACTCTGAGGAGAATCTACCTCTCTCTCTCTCTTTCTTTCCCCACTAGTTTGTTCCAGCTTTGAGTTTTCCCTCTGTTAAGAATTGGTATCTAGAAAGACAAATTGTTTATCCGAGTAGATACTGGGTTTCGCTTGGGTGTATTTTTTTTTTTTTTTGGGCATTTGGTGAGGAAAAATATTGGTTTACAACTATTGAACTAAATTGGTGCAACTGGCCAAAATGGAAAAATAAAAGAAAATGTGTTTGTCGAAATGTTTCTTCAACAAACCGTCTGGAATGGAAAGAGCATTCTGTTATAGTATTTTTTGTATCAGTTTAGTACCTCTGAACTGACGGTATTTGTACTTCTTTGAAGCTTTGCCAGAATAATGCAGTTGAGAGGTTTGTTTAGTGTTTGCAGGGGGAAGTTGCTGAAATTTCCCCTCTTTCAACCAATGAACTTAACGCCATCAGTTTTTGTTCATCCGGGTATGCTTTGACTGCTTTGCATTTTATTCAGTTTAGAGTTTGATGTTAGTGTAATTAGTTAATGTCTAGCATTTGAGATCAATGTTTTTTTTTTTTTTTTATAATTATTTTATGGCTTTGAATTTTTTCTATTAATTAATAGGCCAAAAACATTCATGGGATTGTATGGAATGAATGACCTTCTTACTATAAGCCCATCCATGTTTCCTATGATGTAATTTTGGTATATTTTCTAAAAAGGAAGTTTGGGTTTTTATTTGTTAGATTGAATTCTGATATTTAGACTTTGTAACAGGAAAACCAGTCAAAAAACTTCAAGCTTGGATGTGTTATTCTAGTTATTCAATCAATGATGACTTAAAGAAAGGCCATGAAAAGATGATGTTGGCAAAAGACTTGGCATGTCTTGTCGAGGAATCATCTCGTCAAGATGAGAGGAAAGCCAAGAGCAGAATGGAGCTAAAGAGGTCTCTTGAACGTCGTGTAAAGAATAGAGTAAAGGAGCAATTCTTTGATGGCAAGTTTCGAAACCTAATGGCCAAAGTGATTGCCAATCCAGAAACACTTCAAGATGCTTATAATTGTATTAGGCTCAACTCAAATGTTGACATATCTGTGAAGGATTATTCTGTTTGTTTTAAGTCCTTGGCAGAGGAGCTTCTTGGGGGGACTTTTGATGTCAGAGCAAATACCTTCTCTGTCTCAACAAGAGGTGTGAACAAAGAAATACTTGTCCTTCCAAATCTGAAAGTGAGAACTGTTCAAGAGGCTATCAGAATAGTTTTGGAAGTTGTTTACAAGCCCCATTTTTCTAAAATTTCACATGGCTGTCGAAGTGGGAGGGGTCAATCCACTGCAATGAGATACATCGGGAAAGAGATTTCTGCTCCAAATTGGTGGTTCACATTAATTTTAAACAAAAAGGTTGATTCTGGTATCCTTGCTAAGCTCATTTCAAAATTGGAGGTCAAGGTAGAGGACAACCAGTTATATGCTATTATCAAAAGCATGTTTGATGCAGAAGTACTTAATTTTGAGTTTGGAGGTTTCCCGAAAGGCCATGGCCTTCCACAGGAGGGAGTATTATCCCCAATATTAATGAATATATATCTTGACCTTTTCGATCAAGAATTTTACAGATTGTCCATGAGATATGAAGCTCTTCATCCAGGCTTTGATAAGGATAAAGATAAGTCACATTCCAAGTTGCGCAACTGGTTTAGGAGACGGTTAAAGGAAAATGATCTAAAAAATACAGTTAATGATGATTCTGGCCCAAGAGTTCATTGTTGTCGGTATATGGATGAGATTTTTTTTGCAATTTCTGGTTCCAAAGATATTGCTCTAAGTTTCAAGTCCGAGATTGTAGATTTTTTTAAGAATTCTTTGCACTTGGATGTTGATGATGCGCAAACAGAAATTCTACCATGTGATGGGTCTAATGGGATTCGCATTTTAGGAGCTTTAGTCAGAAGAAGTGTGCAAGAAGGTCCTGCTACAAGGGCTGTGCACAAGTTAAAGGAAAAAGTCAAGCTATTTGCTTCACAGAAACAAGATGCTTGGAATGCTGGGAGTGTTAGAATTGGGAAGAAATGGTTAGCTCATGGTTTAAAGAAGATTAAGGAGTCCGAAATCAAGCATTTAGCTGATAGTGGCTCTACTTTGAGTAAAATTTCATGTTTCCGTAAAGCTGGGATGGAAACTGATCATTGGTACAAGGTCTTAGTGAAAGTATGGATGCAAGACGTTAAAGCCAAAACAGCAAAGAATGAGGAATCAATCTTGTCCAAAAATGTTGTAGAACCAGCCCTTCCTCAAGAACTAAAGGAAGCTTATTTTGAATTTTTGAAGCGTGCAAATGAATATGTTTATTCTGAAACAGCTGCTATCCTTGCTCTTTTACCAAAGTCAAGCTCAAACACTGGATCTGTCACTATCACTGAGATTGTTGCTCCAGTCAATGCCATAAAGAAGCGTCTCTTACGATATGGATTAACCACCCCAGAAGGATATCCTCGTGTGGCTTCATTGCTTATCTTACAAGATAACGTCCAAATAATTGACTGGTTTTCAGGAATTGTTTGCCGATGGCTTAGGTGGTATCGTGAGTGTGACAACTTCAATGAGGTTAAGCTTATAATTTCTACTTTACTGCGGAAATCCTGCATTCGTACTCTAGCAGCAAAATATGGGATTCATGAAAGTGAAATAGAGAAACGATTTGAGTCAGAACTATGCAGAATCCCCTTGACAGAAGAGGTGGAGCAAGAGCTGACATATGAAACTTCAGATTCAAACTCTTTTGATAATGATGAAGCCTTGATGTATGGAATTTCTTATAGTGGTTTGTGTCTGCTATCTCTCGCAAGAATTGTGAGCCAGTCAAGGCCTTGCAATTGTTTTGTTTTGGGGTGTTCAGTGGCAGCACCAAGCGTGTATACTCTCCATGCTATGGAAAGACAGAAGTTTCCCGGTTGGAAGACAGGGTTCTCAAGTTGTATTCATCCAAGCTTGAATAAAAGGCGAATTGGATTGTGTAAGAAACATTTAAAGGACTTATATCTTGGTCATATATCACTTCAGTCCATTGATTTTGGTGCATGGAAGTGATGTCTTTCAACAAAGTTTAAGTATTATTTAAACAGCAGAAATATGGACTTCTGATCATTTATTTGCCATGGAATGTACAGAGTGTGAAAGCCATTATGAACATTCTAGCTAGGTTAATGGCGTTATTACTTGGACATGGTCAGACTCCTTGGCATTCTCAACATATTATTAAAAAAAAACACTGCTTACAAAACATCTAGCCTTGAAATAGTTGAAAACCTTCTTTTCCCTGGTATATAATCATAAATTTCTGCACGATATTGAGGCTTATTATATGTTCTCAAATGATACATTGTGGGTAACTAGTTGTGTCACCTCATTGCAGATATGCTCATTATCTTTTTGACAATGGGTGTTATGAGGAGGCAATGAAGCACCTTTTGGCATCTCAAGTAGATATTACCTATGTGCTTTTTTTGCATCCATCCATTTTTCTTCCCCAAACAACTGCAGTTACAGAGCTTGAGAAGTTAATGGACCTTTCTCTGGATGATTCACAACTCTCAAGAGGTTTATCTGGTTTGTTGAATGATCTGGAAACCTTGCTTCTACAACTATCACAATCTGATGAGAGTGCAGTATTTGAGTTAAAGAGAATAAGCCATGATACTCTCATGGCTCTTATTAAGTTCTTACAGAAAATAAAAGGTATGGTATATTAATATTGTAGAGAAGGTTGCTGTTGAGGGAATAGAAAAGGCAGTTTTTGATGCCATTGAGGATTATTTTACTTTGACTAGGTTTAATAACTCAAATAAGGTGGGGCTAATTTCACTTTTCATGAGTGTCAACAATGTTTGTTAAAAGTTAATCATATTTGGAAAGATTCTATGTCAGCTTCTGCACTAGAATTTGGCTTTTTGAAGAAGTGTAAAATTGGACATAAACCATCCAAAATGTCATACATTCAATTCCAATAGGTTGATCAAAGTTTCTTGTAATCAGCTCTGTTAATATCCAATTTATTTTCATGTTTTTAAAATTTATATAAACTGTTATTTTTTAATGATCTAACATTATATTTGGTTCCCTGGGGCCATGATACCAATCTGAGTAACTCAGCTGCTTGGGAGCTGGCAGCAATGCTGGATACAGCCCTTTCCCAAGCATTTTTTTTTCTTACTGGACAATTGCCAGCAGCATTATAGCTAAGTCTTAATTACTGTGACCTAAAATTATATGAGGAGATTTTTCAAAAAGGGAATTATTATGCTACTTTGTTAGAACTTTACAGAAATAACTTAATGCACCGTGAAGCTCTAAAACTTCTACATCAATCAGTGCAAGAGTCAAAATCAAACCAATTGCAAGCTGAGCTCTTCCAAAAGTTCAGTCCCAAGGCAATCATTGAGTATATCAAGGTCCATTTATCAGTTAGTGGAAACTTCATTGTTCGTATTCAATTTAAGTATTTTAAAGTTGGCTTTCTGGGTAACCTGTGTCTTGTGGAATGCGGAAGATTATGTTATATTATATGAAGGAGGTTATGTGAAGTTTTATACCTGAACAATATGAGAAGGTAATGTTAATCATGGCTTAACCTTATGGACCATTTTCCCTTAGCATTCACTATAGATATTGCTTTTATTTGATGCAATGTATATTCCATGGGCTCAAGATGCTGTGATAGAACTTCTATATGCTGAATTGTTTGTATGATTTTGTTTGCAGCCTCGATGTGGCACTGCGTATTCTTGTGCTTGAGTTCTCGATGCTCATTCTTGAAAGCTGTCCAGCACAAACCATTGAGCTTTTCTCGAAAATCTGGAAATATTCCTGTAGACTTGGTCAACTCTTATTGGAAGCAGCATGCTCCAAACATGCAGGGCACGTACTTGGAGCTTATGCCTGCAATGGATGAAAATGGGATCTCAAGGAACCTTCAAAATGAAATGGTAAAGACTGTATTTTTTATTACGAAAGTAACTGCAAGTTGTTTTCAAACCACTGGGAGTTCTCGTAGTTGCCACTTGTGTTGGTGATAGTGCCGCTCATGTTACAAGCAATAACTATTGTAAATACAAATCCATCTCTCAGAAGTACTTGAATGGTATTCAGAACTAATTGCTCAACAGATATGGGATAAGAAGGCTTATTCTCCAACTAGGAAGAAATTATTGTTTGCATTGGAAAGCATCTCAGGATACAATCTAGATGCTCTATTGAGAGCTCTTCCTACAGATGCTCTATTTGAAGAGCATGCAATTTTGTTGGGAAAAATGAACCAAAATGAGTTTGCGCTATCACTATATGTTCACAAGGTAGTTTCTGACAAAGTCGTCCAGTTTCTTTCTCTTAAGAATGATGGTCAATAGAAGAAGCTAAAAGATGTTGAGCCTTTAGTGAGTAGAAAAAGCTGTTCTATTATCGTGATTGGTTTATGAGTCTGCCGTTCATCAACCACCGTTAAAATCTTCTGGCAATATATACCTCACTCTTTTGCAAAACTAGTTGAATCTTCAAAAAAAACAACCAAGAACTTAGGAAAGAGAATTTGGTGTCATCCCCGAACACAAGCATCCCAAAGGTTGTTTCAGCAGCTTCAATTAAAACTAAAGGAGGACGGAAGAAAATTGCCTTAATAGAAGGTATGGAGGATGTATATTAGTCCTAGCAACACTGATAGTGGTTTGAATGACTATGATGCAGAGGAATCTTGTGAGGAAGGAGGTTCTTCTAGTATGCTTGATCAGGTTCTTGATCTTTTGAGCTGAAGAGGGTATAGAATAAATGGAGCTCAGGCATCTTACCAAGGGAGACTAAGCTACAGGTATTTCCTAAAATCTTGAATTGCTTACAAAACTCCTGAACCAATTTGCATCTGAGTGTATATGTTCATTGATATCTAAGATATTACATTTCCTTTTGGGCATCATAGTATCAGTTATAAGCTCTTTCATTAAGGTATTTGTCTTTTACCTGTAGAACTTGGTTCCATTTCTGGGACCTCTTTTGAAAAGATCCAGGGAAGCATGCAGGAACTTCTCTGTTATCTAAAGCTTGAGGTGGAGTGAGAATCTAAAAGTATGTAATTTGTTTTACTTAGCCAATGGTAATTTTTCTGTTTTCTTTCTTTCAAGCATTGGCTGAAATTATATTTGAAATAGGTGAAGAACTCAACAACCAAAGAAAAGCTGTTGCGAAGATCTCTAGTGACAGTCTGCAACAAGAAAACTAGAGGTCCAAAAAAAGATGAACAAGCGTATTTACTGCTGTATATCCAAACGGGAAAACACTGATGCACTTTGCGTGCTTCAGAGATTGTAATGTACGAAAGCTGTAGCCAAAGGCTAACTGCCAAGGAAGAGTATTGATAGGCAATTCAGTTGTGACAAAATGCAACTCAAATACCCAAAGTCAAAAGCTCTGAAACAGTTGGAGGCATTTATATATAGGAGCCTTAGCTTGTGAATGCTGTGCTTTTCACATAATTCGGGGCCAGTGATGCAGTGATCCAGCGGTGAAGTTGAAAGCAGCTTCAGCGGTATGGCTGTTATCGAGACTCATCCTATATTATTTTGTGATTTTGTGATAGTGTGGAGTCAAAGAGACTTTTCTCATGTTTATTTTTTTGTTTTAATACCTCATTCGAGGTTACTATGAATTGATCAAAACAGATTTTGTAACTTTTGCTGTAAAGAAACAAAAACTGTATTGGATTAGGGTAACAATGTGTGCATTAGATTTCACATCGTTAGTGCATGACTTTTTCGTATTATATCGCCCTCAGCCCAGTTTTGCAATTATAGATGTTCTAGCATGGATAATGAAATCTCGGATACTGTTCAAGCATGGGCCGCGAAAGAGGGAATCCTTCATCACTGTTCTCATTCATTTCTAGTAGTGTTTGTGCCAAACTATCTGTGAGGGATAATTTCTTGAAAACACAAAAAAGAGAGATCGGTTAACAACAAAAGTTGGGAGTTGTTTCGTCGTTTGTGCTTTGATACCAAATTAAAGCAGATGTTCCGTCGTTTGTACTTTGATACCAAATTAAAATTCGATCTACAGAAGGGTAGGAGAATAAAGGCTTAAAAGCTAAAAGTATTGTATGGGATTAGGGATGACATTGCAAGTTCAAGTTGAGCTGGTCGTTGATCATCCATTCAAGGCACAACAAGTCAGCATTTTAAAGTATTAAGGCTTAGGTTGTTGAGGTGGTTGAATTGACAGGGATTTAGGAATTTTAGGTCAGCTTGATATGTTAGCTCAATCGAAATGATCATAAAGCCTCATTTTATCAACTGACTTATATTCTAAAGGAAATGTCTATTTTGCCATTTGGACATTAAAATGCCTTTAATATTCTATCTCCCCACCAAGTAGTTTGAGGTATCAGACTAATGAGGATAAGTTGACTGATCTATTATTGTCTATACCAAACTACGAGTTGGATGTGGGTTTTGAGCTTTCATTGTGTTGTTTAAGTGAGGCGTTTCAAAGGTTGTCCAAATCTCAACTTGTCGAGATGATCATGGGATCATGCTAATATGGATGAAGTGGTATATTTATTTAGGTTCTAAGTAATGCTTCCGACGTGATGCTTGTGTATGATGGTTGACGTGACGCTTGCAATGTGTATGGCATGTGCGTCATGCTATTATATCTGTAGCCGACGTGACACTTGTGAACATCCTATGGCAGGTCTCCGTGAGTCCAATGTAACATTGCATGTACGGCCGATGTGACATATTTTATAAGATGAGTTCTTCATAGTGGGAGAATCAATGTGCTCGTTATATAGATGCATTTGAATTTGCATTTATTAAGGAAAGAAATTTTGGCGATTCTTTGAATTAAGATTGAGAATATAAAGAGTCATCATCGGTAACTATTATGGTGACTGGTTTAATCTATGATGTTCAATTAATTTAGGACTTGGTTATATAAGAGGCCCTTTGGGTATCAATTTCTCACTACCCAAACATCTAAAATCTTCAGTTGACCAGTTTTTATTGATCTCAAAATTTTCTAGCTTTCTTTCATTGACCTTTTAAAAAATTGTTTTGTATGTTTTCTTTCCCTTTCATTATGTTTTCTGATTCTAACATGTCTAACAACTTTAGTATAGAAGTAAAGAAAGGTCATCTCGGTTAAGAGGCTTTCTTTTTGAATGATAGAGTCCCCTCTGTCATTACAAGAAAAGACTACCGTTAAGCTACCTATTGATTAAATTTAATGTCTGTGGAGGGCCAAAAATAGATCAAGGGCAATGCCTAAGTAAGGATGCTAATATGCATGTACAATGAATTGTTGAAACAACCTTCCTCTTTTCATCAATGAATTCCTCTGCACAGACTTTTATTGAATGAGAGAATCTTGCATAATAATTGTTTTCCTTTTAATTTTATTCCTATAAGTAGGTTGTGAATAAAAGATATCAAGACTAAAACCATCTTCACCATATGAAAATAACAATAGATATTGCATAGCCACAAATGAAAGATGCAACTAAAAAATATACTTTAAATCTTCTTATGCTCAACCGCAGTATCTCTTTACCTATCAAACTCTTCTATATCACCAACAATTAAACTAGCAATTTTAGATGTAGTAGGAGCATTATGATTTTGATCATGTTCACTTTTACTACCATTGATTTCAAATGAATTGGAACATAATTAGAACTTGCAAACCTATCTCGTGCCATCCTAAAAACCTTTACTATTTCATTCTTTTCATCAAGTATCTTAACTAAGCCATCAACAATTGTAGCATCAACATAAGGATTTTGATCATTCCATCTCAAAGCTAACATCCTATTTAACAGCTAATTTTTTTTATCATATATATAAAGTAAACATCAACCTCTGATCCATGATAGGCAACAATGAACTAATTTAATGATGATTCTATTCACTAATTTTAAAAACATAAGGTCCTTATGAATTATTAACAAAATCATCAATTTTACCCACTATCGAAGTAAACTAGAACATGGAATTATAAATTCTCATTTTCTCTTTAAAACGCGTAGCCCTAACACTTTTCTCATAATCAAGCAACTCATCTAAAAATGTTGGAATAGGTTTAAAATAAGTTAACCATACCTTATTTACAACAAAAAGAGATATAGGATTAATTGTATTTTTTGAAATATAAACCATCTTTTCATACCACATATCTGCCTTGTAAAAAGGACAAACACAATTAGGACTTCCAAAGATATAAGGTGCATAACATCTTTCTATTAAAAAAATAAAAACATGCAAAGGTTAGGATGGCATTGGTTTGTACACTATTTTATCCTATACTATAATAGTAATATTTTCTTTAAAATTAGATTTAATTACGTAAATGATCTCGATTACTATCTTGAAATAGTCATCCATTTGTTTCATTTAATTGATCAATATTATTATTCAAAAAACTACTAGAACCTTAATAAATAAAATCAAATATTTATGTATATTTATCAAGAAATAGCACAGATAAAAAAAATAAAAAAAATCATCATTACAATATGTTCTTTAAAATTAGATTTAGTCACTTAAATGATCTCGATTACTACCTTGAAACAATTATCTATTTATTTCATTTGATTGACCAATAGTATGATTCAAAGAACTACTAGAATCTTAATATAATAAAATCAAATATTTATGAATATTAATCAAGAAATATTACAAAAAAAAAACAAACCCATCATCACAAAATATTTAGCATGAGATCTTCAGAATGATTCAGATAAATTAGTAACTACTCTAGCACTTTCACGATCCAAACGAAATGCAGTGCTAGAATCACTTAAACTAAGCACAACCAATAAAGGCATGATTGAACTACTACTGCCTACATGTTTATAAAGAGGAATTAAACTACTTTCACCTACATTCCCAAACCAGTAAAAAAATAATAATAACTATGTGGTTTATTAATAAGTGAAGTAAAAGATGCATCACCTCTTAAACATTCCAATGAAACAATGTTTAACTCATCATTTCTCTCAACATAATACAATCTTATGTTACTTACATTCTGACTAACCATATCAAAATTGAGCACAAAACCATGATGAACAGACTATTGACTTGATTATCAATAACATTAATAGTCTGAAAAGGGATATTATTAGCTTTACCAAACATAATATTATCCATATAAGAACTTTAAACTCCTTCATTGTCTCATTCGATTAGACTTGAGTATAATTAACTTTTTAAACCTATTCACGGTCCATTGACTCTAAGAATTGACAAAAATAAGAACTCATAAAGACTTGACTCATTAACTTACATTCTTGTAAATCTTGCAAGTATATTTTATCTAAAACTATTATGATTCACCATCTAACTTAAAGTCAAATCTTTTCACAGACAACAAATAGTAAAAGCTAGCCTAAAACCCTACAAAGTAAAAAGAAAACAAATCATAAAAAACTCCATGAAAAAACACAAACAGATTCACCTATTTTAACAATCAAATCTAACTCTGAACAACTTCTACCAAACTCAAACAGAAATCATAAACCAACTTGTCTACCTAGCACTTGTTTATTAATCACAATAACATCAATAGATTAATAAAATATTGGTATTTAGCATACTATCTATTAAAATAGTTTATACAACTTTGTTTTGCATTAACTAACAAAATCATAACAAAGACAAAAACATATTAACATGTACTCAAAAGTAGAAACAAAATCAAACAAACAATATAAGTAATATCAACATATTAATGTAATACAACTCTGTTTTGCATGAAATAATAAAATTACAACAAAGATAAAAATATATTAACATGCACTCCAAAACAAAAACAAAATTAAATAAAAAATGATCGAATCTCAATTTCAATTTTCACAATAAGGATTTTGAATGACGTCGAGGTCAACATGATTCTAAAACCACGAAATCATGAATAATATAAGAACAAAATTGCAAAAATAAAACCAAAACCATAAAAAGCAAACACTTGATAAAACAAAGATAATAACAATACCAGTCCCATTAATTACAAACCCAGTTATCAAACTTAAATAATAAGCACAGCAATCCCATAAATTAGAAACTAACATATCAAACCTTCAATATAATTAATTTCTTAGAGTTTAATAATTATCAAACTGATCAATCATTGATATTGAAAATGGATCGCATAGTTTGACCCATGCAAAAAATCAAACATATTACAAGATAGATTGATTAGATCATGCAAAAAAAAAAAAATAGAGGTGATGAATCAAATATAATATTTAGAGCATAATTACTAGTTATAAATAAAAGCCTTAAAGAATTGCAAATGAGGCATCTCATTGGAAGAAAAAGATCTATTGCAAAATTCATGAGGAAAAGAGATCCTACATAAAGAATAAAGACTTATTTTGTAGCAAAAATACTATATTTCTTACTTTTATGTGAGTATCACACATCTCTAATTTGTTGTTTATAATACTAACAAATTATGAAAGAAAGCCTTTTTATGTCTAGATGATTTCAAAAAAAAAAAAAAATACAAATTATCAAATAAAACTATAGCCTCTAACTCCTAAGATCAACAACAATAAGAACTTCATAAATATTGTACTCATCAACTTGCATTCTTGCTAATTTTGTAAGTTTATTTTGTCTAAAACTGTTATGACTCATCATATAACTTAAAGTCAAATCCTTTCACAAACTCCAAATAGTAAAAGCTAGTCTAACAGCCTACAAAGCAAGAAAAAAATAAATCATGAAAAACTCTATAAAAAACACACCATAAATTCACTTCTTTTAACAATCAAATTTAATTGTGAACAACTTTTACAACTCAAAGAGAAAACATAAAACCAACTTTTTTGTCGAAACATCCTCATCAAGTACAACAAGATCAACAAATTAAGGTAACTTCGATATTTAACATACTATCTATCAAAATAGTTTATGCAACTCTGTTATACATCAATTAATAAAATGACAATAAAAACAAAAGCATATTAACATCTACTAAAAAGAAGAAACAAAATCAAATAAAGAATAATAGTAATATCAACAGCTTAATGCAATACAGCTTTTTTGTACAACAAATAATAAAATCACAACAAAAATAAAAACAAATTAATATGCATTTAAAAGCAAAAACAAAATCAAATAAAAAATTATCAAACCTCAACTTCAATGTTCACAACAACAATTTTAGAATGATCTCAAGATTAATAAATTTTTACAAACCACAAAACCATGAATAAAATGAAAACAAAACTCAAAAAATAAAACAAAAATCATATAAAACAAAAGCTTAGAAAACAAAGATAATAACTGCACCAATTTCATCAATTATAAAAGCAAATATCAAACCTAGATAATGAGCACAACAATCCTAGTGAGATGCATTTGATAATCAACAAATAGAGCAATTATTGATACTAAAAATGTGTTGCATAGTCTAGTCAACTAAAAAATAGAATATATTTCAGTACAGATTGATTGAACCATACAAAAAAACATGGAGGTGATCACTCAAATCAAATGTCTAAACACTCATCATTCATTATAAATAAAGCTCGTAGAGAATTGCAAATGACACATCTTATTGGACAAAAAAAAACTATTAGAAAATTCATGAAAAACATAGATCTTACATGAAGAATGAAGATTTATATTGTAAACAAAAATGACTTACTTGCAACCTAATGGCAAATTAAAAAATCAAAAGCAAATGCCAATAAAAAAAAAAAAGAAAATCGACTCATTTTAGGTGTCAAGAGCTAGATTAAACAATGAAATTATTAAATTTCAATGTTAAATTGAAGTGTAAATCATCTATATTTCATTTTTCACCACAATGTTTGAATAATTTTAAAAGAGAAAAAAAGCAAACCATAAAAGAAAGCTATAACCACCAATGGTAAACATAAGGTCAATGACAATAATGATAAAGCTACAACCACCGCCAACAAACTCAAGTTTAATGACCACAGTAACATCAATTCAAAACCCATAAAACAACATGCATAAAATAAAATAAAGATTAAACATAAAACTAATACTTTCCATCAATTCACAACCCATAATTCATAACCTAAATAAAACAAACGGAACTTAACAAAATAAAACCATCATGCATGAAAAATTTTAAAACATGAAACTAATATCCAAAAAAATCTATCACCACAAAAAAAGAACAATCTCGATGAACATATGCCAACAAAATAATGCATGAAAACAGAAATAATTAATTGAACAAAACGAATAAGCAAAAACAATAATGTCAAACAACAACAACAAACCATTAATAGAGAACAAAACCATCCAAGAAAAAGAGTGAAAAAAATGAAGAAATTAAATAGAAAAACAAAAACTAACTTGGATGAAGAAAACAAAAAAAAAAAAAATAGCAAACACAATAAAAAAGCATCAAGAGAAAGAAAAATGGGAAGTAGAGAAGAAACACATTCCCATGTATAAAACCTACTTTCATTTCAAAATTAACCATCTAATTAATTTTTAAGACATTGCCAAAGTAAACATCAAAGATAAAATTGAGGACTACTTTATTATAAGTTATAGATTATTATTATTATTATTGGCACTTGCTCCATTGATTTTGACATATTTTATAAACAACATATGAACTGGTGTCACTATCAAGACTGAAATACATAATTTACTTGGAAAACCCATGTTTTACAATCAATTCGGAACATTCAGCTAAAAGATTGTCTGTAAATTCTCAGCCATATATTTCTATTTCTAATATACATCCACAAATTAAATGAAGCCTGCAATCAGAATTCTAAATAATGGAGGAAAGACACTGAAAAAAAAAAGTTAAGAAGACAAAAAAAGGAAAAAAATCATGGAGGTAATAACTTGTGTTTTGGTTGAGTTTGTTTTCTTATAGTCAAATCAAAAATGTTCTTCAGTGCCGCCACTAACGTTCTCTATCTTTTACTAGTCAAAAACAGCCGGTCCCCTTTGTGGTGTCCGCCGGTTCATATGCTCGTCATCTGGTTGAGCTGGACTATCTGGTGTTCCGATGGATTCATGTGGCAATACCCCAATATACTGTTGGATCACCAGCACAGATACTGTTGATGCAAAATCTGATGACGCTAGAATATCTCCAATTGCACCAAGCTCTGGACACTCACTCCAGTCAGTAAGTCCAGCTGTTAGTGGTGATATCATTCCTTGTCCTCTCCCAACAATGAACAGGTCATGGCTGCTGTCTATTGTCCTTATTGCTGCAACAGTTTCCTCTCCATTGTTGACCACATTCTCAGTGTATATAAGTGACTCATCATTTGCAGTCTTGATCCTAAAATCATTTATATATTCGTCGTCAAGCTGCTTTTCCCTACTGGTGTCTGTTTCCACTGTTAACATCCTTGGGTCATTTTCATCAGTAGTATAATGCATTCTAGACTCTGCTGCATCCGCACCTGAAATAAATCGCCGCACAGTAAGGCTAGTCCCTGGTTGTTCACACATTCTCCATCCATACGTAAGAGCTTCTCTGTCGTCTGGACCCCCAAAAAATAGCACTGCTACATTGTGAGACACTTCGTTCGCTGCTAGCCGCGTTGATCCACTTAGGCCTCTATCAATTAAAATTCCCACAGAACAAGGTGCATTTGCAAGTAAATTCTGGTTAACTGTTCGAAATGCTGGGTTTGTGGCTTCCATCCCTCCATCAACTGTTTGTTGCTTATGGAAAGGGATGATTATGAGGGCAACACGTTTGTCCTCAGCCAAGCTACAAATATCTTCATGCATGGAAGAGTAAGGGGAAATGGCTGTGAGTGGCTGAATGGAGATGCAGCTTGAATGTTGCTCGAAATTTTCAAAGGCATTGATTATGTGGTCGGATTGAGCTTGAGTTCTGTTTAAGGCCGGACGACCAGATTTGCGTGTGTTATGGACAATGAGCATGGCAGATGCACGGCCAGTGAGTTCAACGAGATGGAGCACGTACACACATATTGGAGATTTTTTGGTGGGATGAGAGGCTTCAAGTAGGTTGATTAATGTTGGGACATTACGAGGGGTGTGGACGCAGACGAGCATTCGTAGCTCTCCATCTGGTTTTGATCTTTGAAGTGTTCGACGTTTATATGGTACAAACCTCCTTGATGGCTTGTAAATGGTTGCCACAATGGGTGAAATGATCCCAGTCATAACCACTGCTACAATCACCATGATTGCAAATGACTCATCATCTAAGACCTGCAAATCAGTGTATTTTTTTTTCTTTCAAAATCAATCAGTACTGTTTTTCCACATGATAAAGAGTGGAGTCTAGGTGGTTGCAGTGGCAATGGAAGGGAAAGTACGTACCTTCTGATCTTTGCCAACATTAAGAACAATCATTTCAATGAGGCCTTTGGTGTTCATGAGTAAGCCAAGTGTAAATCCTTCACTAAGTGGCATCTGGTAAAAGGATGTTACAATTATAGTTCCTGCTATCTTGCCAGTACAAGAAAGGAAGACAACGAGTGCTAACATTCCCCAGGTTCGACCTCCATTGATAGCAGCTACATCGGTCTTGAGGCCGCTAATAGCAAAGAAGAGAGGGAGTAGAAGCCCTGATACAAAGTCTTCTAGCTTTTCTATTAGAGTAATTCCAAGTGGTCCATTGGGAATGATCAAACCAAACACAAAAGCTCCAAAAACAGAATGTGTCCCAATGGCATCTGTAATGAACCCTGAGATCATAACCCCTGTTAGAATGAGACATACATAAAACTCGCTAAAGGATTCTCCTTCAGGGGTTTTCCAAATCATCCATGATATAGCTGGCCTAACAACAAAAATGCAACAGGCAATAAAAGCTGCACTGGAAAGAATCACCCAAAGGGAAGCTAAGGAGGTGGAATCATTCTCTGCCAAGGCAATGGCTAAAGCTAAAAGAATCCAAGCGCACATGTCATTGATAAGAGCAGAAGACATGGCCAATCTACCAATTTCTGAATTAATGAGTTTCAGCTCCGCAAGGATTCGAGCAAGCACTGGAAATGCTGTGACTGAGAGAGCAACACCAAGGAAGAGGATGTAGGTGCCTTGAGTAAGAAATTCTGGTTTATTGTCATGTAGAATGAAAGAGAAACAGACACCAGTTAGAAAGGGCAAGACCATGCCGGCAACAGCAATGGCCAGAGCCTTTTTTCCTGTCCGACGAATCACTGAAAGGTCCATTTCCACACCAACCAGGAAGAGGAAGTAAAGAAGACCGATATTTGCCATTGTTTCAAGCACCATCACACTCCTTAAGGGAAACATTGTGTTGGCAAATCCTTGGCTCCGTCCTAGGACGGATGGACCTAATAATACTCCGCCCTGTTAAAAACTGAACACCATTATTACCTTTGCAACAAGATAGAAATTCACAAATGCATCAGAAAAACAAAAATGCACATGGTTTTATTTGTGGCCTCTTGCTTGCATTACAGTAATTATACTTCAACTTACAAGAATCTCAGAAACCACTCGTGGTTGGCGTAGGGGTTTGAGGATGAAAACAAGCGCGCGAGTGGTGATAACGACCATTGTCAACTGCAAGATGAAAAGAGGAAGAGAATAATCCAAGGGGTTATCACCTTGCCATACACCATTTGTAGTTATCATTGTTGGTGCATAGCAAACTATTGTATCTTCTGATTTATTCGCCACGGTGTTTACCCCTTCCATTATTTATTTATCTATTTATTTCGCCTTCAATATGCTTCTAACACCGCCTCCTCGATCACCAATCTGCCTCCTCTTCTTGCACCCTGCAACCTCAACACTTTTTCAAACTTTTTAACTTGTATTCAACTACACCATTTATCTTTGTCACCTCCATTATTGATTAAACTTTTCCTTCTTTTAACAATGCAAAACAATGACCAGAAATGGGTTACCCAAATTTGTGTTAATAGCAAAGAAGAAAGGAGGTTGGAGAAGAGTGAAATCAGGATGGTTTTGGTGGTTGCCCGTCCCATTTGGTAAAATCTGTCTTTCTTCTATGGTCTGTAAAGCCCTCTATTTTCAGAACAAATATATATGACAATGTGTCCCTCTCAAAAAAAAAAAAAAAATCAGTTAAAAGTTCTCAACTTTGTGATCATCTCGGCCGTACAGAAAAATATAAAAATAACTAATATTCATAATCAAAAGTAACAGTCAGAATTAATTAAATCCGTCTTAAAGATTTCGAGTTCTAAATATATATATAGTACTAGTTAAATATATAAATATATATGCACTAGTTAAGTTGACTTTTCAATTCACATTAAGTATTTTATAAGATAAATTAGTTCGATATAACTTTTCATGACATATCGGGAGTTTCTAATAAAAATAATGTAAAAAAAATTATAGATTAATAGAACTCAATAAATAGATCAATACATTATAATTTTAAAATTTTTAAAATTTTCATGTAAATAATTTAATCAAAACTCTTAAATTATATAGTATGAATATTAATTTTAATTTTCATTCATAATCTTCATTTAACTCATTTTTAGTTGTAAACTTTACGACAACGTTTATTTAAGAATTTATATGTTTTGTTATTTTATGTTTTATTATTAAAGTGTTTAATTTATTTACACTAAAATATTTAACTAAGCGATGGGTGCATAATTCCTCACCAAGCAGAATTTGAATTACTTCATATCAAATTAGAAGTGTTTAACCTATTTATTGACACTATAAAAAAAGTAAATCATTTTATATAAAAAAAAATCCTCAAAGCTTACAAAAATATTATATTTGAAAGCTATTATTTATGGATGAGGGATCAACTTACACAAAAATGTTTTATATTTTTTTTAATGTTGTTTTAATAGATTCTAGTGATAAGATTAAATTATTTTTTCTCTTTTTCACTTGTCTCTTTTATCCCTAAAATCTACATAAATCAATGGTTCAAAAACTATAAAATTTTTTAGTTTTACACTAAGATATATTGATCCTTCCCATTATTCACATAGATTTTTCATTTTTAAATAAGACAAAGTTTAAATGTTAAAACTTGAAAAGTTTATGATACTTTTATTTTTTTAAGATTCAATAAGTTAAAAAGTTATAAAGGAAAATTAATTGAAAATATTACATTTTAAGGTACCATTTATTTATTTTTAAAGATATATTTTTAAAAAAATTCACATAACACCTCATATATGTAAATAACTTGCAAAATTCTTGAGGGGGCCATGGCCACATCTAACTCTCATGTGGCACTGCCACTGATTTACTATTAAATTTTTATTGATTTATTATTAATTTATTAATTATTTGTTACTAAGTGATTACTAATTTACTATTAAATTATTAATGATTTACTATTAAATTACTTATAATTTGTTATAAAATTATAATTGATTTACTATTAATTTATTGATGATTGACTATAAAGTTATCAATGATTAACTAATTTGTTATTAAACTATCACTTGCTTACTACTAAATTATCAATAATTTACTACTAAATTATCAATAATTTACTATAATGTTATTATGCATTTATTACAATGTTTCATTATTTACTACTTAGGTTTCGATTATTTACTACAAAATCATCACAAATTCATTACAAAATTAATCATGATTCATTATCAAGTTATCGTTTATTCATATTAAATGATTCATAATTTAGTATTAAGTTATCATTGATTAACTATTAAGCTATTGATGATTAATTACCAGTAAGTTGTATTGATTTATTTTTAAGTTCTAATGATTAACAATTAAATTATTATTGATTTAATACTAAATTTATCAATTAATTACTATTAAATTAAAACTGATTTACTCTTAAGTTATCATTAATTTACTACTAAGTTATCATTAATTTATTATTAAGTTATTAATTATTAACTACAAGTTATCACTTTTTTTTATTAACCTATCATTGATTTATTAATGTGTTATTATCCATTTACGACTATGAAACATGAAATTTAAAAGTCCACTAATGATATACACAATAATTTTCTTTTTATATAATAACATTATTGTTTTATTCAAGTTTGTAATTTCTTACTAGTTTTTTACTGAATATGTTTATGGTAAGTTTATCTTAATTCCTAAAATGAAAGTTTTGACATCATTTCTGCTAGTACCATTAAGTTATTAATGATTTATTATAAAGTTATAACTGATTTATTATTAATTTATCGATGATTTACTAAAAATTTATCAATGCTTAACTAATTTACTACTAAATTATCACTATTTTTTATTTAAGTTATTAGTAATTTACAATTACGTTATTAGTTATTTACCACTAAGTTATCAATTTACAACTAAATTATCAATTATTTGCTATTATATTTTTATATATTTATTATCATGTTGTCATTGATTTACTATTTAGTTTTTAATTATTTATCACAAATTTATCACAAATTTACTACTAAATTATTTATGATTCATTATCAAGTTATTACTATTTTATATTAAATTATGCATGATTTACTATTAAGTTATCATTGATTAATTATTATATTATCGATAATTTACTATTAAGTTATATTGATTTACTTTTAAGTTTTTAATGAATAACTACTAAATTATCAATTATTTACTACTAATTTATAATTGATTTACTACTAAATTATTTATTATTTACTACAATAAATTAATTATTATTAAATTAAAACTGATTTATTATTAAATTATCACTAATTTACTATTAAGTTATCATTGATTTATTGCTAAGTTATTAATAATTAACTACTAGGTTATCACTTATTTTTTGTTAAGTTATCCTTGATTTAGTAATATACTATTATGCATTTATAATTATATTATAATTGATTTATCAAAAAGTATTATGCATTTATTATTGTATTATTACTAATTTACTAAAAAGTTATCAACTATTGACTACTAAATTATCTTTCATTTACTATTAAGTTATTACTAATTTACTACTAAGTTATTTATGATTACTACTAAGTTATCAATGCTTACTACTAAATTATACTAATTACATTTAAATTTTCAATGATTATTTACTTAGTTATTAATTATCCACTACTATGTTATCATTTAGTTATGTATATCCAAAAAGAAAATAATCACAATGCATGCTAGATGATGTAATTCATAAGGTAGAGAAAGAAAAAAAATGTTCAAGTGTAAATAACTTAAACAGTATAAATAAATGTTTTTAATTTACTATCAGTAGTTTAACATGTAATAATAAGTTTAAATCATATCTTTTTATGCTAATGCAAGCATTAACACTAAATTAAATAAATCTATACAATAGACATTAAGTCAACATTTCAAAATTTTTTAGTTCATGATAAAATAGTACATATTAAGATAAGTTTTATTAATGATTTGATTAAATTATTAGTATATATGTTTTCATACTTGTTAGCAAAATACAAGTGCATATAAAAAATTAAAAAATTTGGAAGTATTCTATCATAAATGAAAATAATAAACTTTGCCTTGTGTTTCTATTTTTAAATATATAATTTTGGGTAAAATTTTTGTTATATATGTGATAAAAGTAATGAGAAAAAATTTACTAAATAAAATTTATAAAAATTAAAGAAACCACAATTTTAAAAAATATTAAATTCACAATAATTACATTTGCATTCTTCATAAAAATTTTCTTCTACTAAAAAAAAGAATAGAATAATTTTCAATTATTGCTTTATTATTATTACCATCATTTTAAAATGAATTTTTTGCTATTTTGATGCTAATCAACTTTTCCATTCGAAAAGAGTAACAAATATTATAATGGATCATAACGACTCAAATAATATTTAACTTTATATTGTCTTCTTGAATGAGTATAAACTATGATATCCCTTTTAAATAAAATGTTTGAATTATTTCCCTTAACCCACGTAATAGCAACTTGATAAACAAATAAACAATTTTAAACTCGTTGATTTATATTAACATTTCTACAATACAAATTTTAAAATCCTCAAAAGAAAATTTATCCTTTAATCTCTGCAGGACTTGGATATAAGGATTTTCTTCTAAAATTATTATTAGTATCTCCATCATTTTTGTAATTAAATTTTTATTGTGTTGTGTTCTCATTTTAATCTGAAATTTATTATCAATGTTATAAAAGTGTAGCTAAAGTAACATGGATTAATCAACTTAAACTTGAAACAATTCAAAACTAATATTGAGTATAAATAAAATTTTTACTCATTTTAAATTTTAATTTAATTAAAAATAATATAATACACATAATTATAAAAATAAACTAACGTGACTCGATTTCAATTGATTTTAAAGTCAATAACTGATTAGTTATTTAAAACCCAAAATTATTGAACATAACCAAATCCGAATTGAAATAGTAACCCAATCAAAGTATAATATTTTTTATTCATCTTCTGTAACAATTTAAAAGTTCTTTATTTAAGCTTTTTTTTTTCATCTTCAATTTCTTATTTTAATTGTATTTGTGGTTGAATTAGTTAATTAATTTTAAAAGTATTTCTAAAATAAAATTACAATTATAAGTAATTGAGTATACCTTTTTATTTTGATTTAAGATGATTTGAATATATTTTTTTAAATAAAATGAAACATGCACTAATTATTGAGTCAAATTTACTCAGTTGCATAAGTGAATAATTGAATACACAACGAATAAAAGTAAATAATAAAACTTAACTCAACCTAATTAATTGCTGATTTTAAGTCTAAAATCT